GTACCTAAGGTGCTGTTCCTACCCCTCCTTATCCTCCCCCTAAACCCCCCACCCCAGCCCCACCGTTGCCCCCCACCGGCCCCCCTCCCTACCCTGGCATATATATAGTTTCATTTCTGTTTGGAACACTAAAAATATGCAAAAGGAATAAAGCAAAATTGGAGAGGTCTTACCTTCCAACCACCTGTCGAGTATCGAGCCCTGCAACCGAACCGGACACTGCAGGGTATTGACGGCTGACGCCGCCGGAGATTGACACAAGGGGACGGTGGCGGAGGAAGAGCGAACTGGGAGACGAAACAAGAGAGGAGTGTAAACGAGTGAAGACCGCGCTAATGGCCGTGGTGAGCCGAGATCGAGTCACAATACCAGTCGCCATAGCTAAGGCTAAGGTGTAAGGTTTACTCCTTTTTTTTTCTTTTTTGGCTCATTCAAGAATTGGGGCACCCTAATGCTATCGATGAGAGAGGCATAAACGCATAACACATGAAATTACCCCAAATAGCCGGCATGGGCAGTTTTGCAGGAGTGTGAAATTTTGGAAAGATGATCAGGAATCCATCCCATAAAGGGTGAGGAGGGTGAGGAGGCTCCTTGTGCAAGGTGGGACGGGTCTAGAGTTCTTGACTGACTGAGTCACTATGATTTACTTCCTCCACCATTCCTGTCGGGCAAGGGGGTGGGAGCGTCTGGAGTGGGCGATTCCAACTTTTTGAAACGATGAAATTACCTCAAATAGGACAAAAACATAGCAAAAGTATCAGAATAGGATATTCATATTTTTTTCTCGAAATAGGACTTTGAACTGTGGTAATGTGACTTTGCACTGTGGTAATGTGGCGGTATACGTGTGCACATTACTATATTTTTTTTTGGTAATGTATATGACCATGTTTGGTAATGTAAGTCTTATTTCGGGAATAAAAACATGGAAGTTCTATTTTGGTATACCCCTCTATTTTCAAAAACCTTCCTCATTTTTTTAAAATTCTAAAAAAAAGTTTACTTTTTTTAGAAAAAACAAAAATTGTTGATTTGAGACGTACACATACATTATATATTAATTTTTTTCAAACAAAAATAACTTTAAATTTTATGAACAATATAAAAATAATTTTAAAAAACCTTTATTAATATATGAAACTAATAATGGAAAAAAACAAAAAATAAGCAAAAAAATAAATATCAGCACAGATACCCCCCTGTGGTTTAGTAAATATGCAATAATGCATCCCTTCTTCGCCGGAAAAAGATCAGAGGGGCACGCGTGCAGCATTTTGAAAGCACATGGACTTTAGAAATAAGATTTGAAAGAAATAAGAATGAATCTGGTGCATCAGATTGTGAGATCTAAGAGTCAAGATTGAGACTAGCGACTGAAGTAAGATTTTCTTATTAACGATTGCGGAAAGATTGCAGTGACCTACCTATTCTTATCTTATTTTTTCAAACCACTAAATTAGTATGCATTTAGAATTTAACCAAACATATTTGAGTATTTGATAATTTTTTATTACATTCTATAATTTTGGTAGCACTCTAGCTTTTATGGATATGGTTAATCATAGAGTTTGCAATAAAGTAATTGTGCAACAGTATCAAGCCCACGAAAATGAAAAGAAGGTGTTCATGATAAAGGTAGATGCGGTAAAAAAGATATATATTGCACTCTAGAAGTTGGTTTTTTTGAAGAAGCAAAAATTGATCTTGCCAAGTAAAACTTTTTGTATTTAATGCTATATTGTTTTTGTATTTATAATGTTTTAATGTGGCTTTCGAATCTAGAGTATTATTTTGTTGTTTATGTTGGGAGACAATTTAGTTAGGAATATATTAGGTGTATATTGTGAATCCATGACATGGAGTATAAGTTTTTGTATTTCAAAGTTAAAGTTAACTATCTTTTCATGTTTTTAGTGCATGGTGTTATGAATAAGAGATGGAAGAGGTACCTCATTATATTGGAATCTTTCAGAATCGTGATTGAATACACCTCCTAATTAATGACATATATGAGTTCATATCATTATGTATTGTCATTAAATTCGAATAAATTATAATTTCAATTTTATTTTATGTTATTTCAAAATCGTTCATCTTCCCTGTCCGGTGTAATTTGTACTCCGTAATATAACTTTCCAACAATCGTATCGGAACCCAACACTCCCACAACCCTAGTGACTAGTGACGATGGTGAGTGTGGGCATGACTTTTGCTCCGATCGCCTGGGTGGGATCCCTGGGGGATGCCCACGAAAACCATGATGTTTCCAGGATCGATACCCGTGTGGTTAATGTTAAATTTATACGTAGTAAATGCATTCTAAAATAATTGTTATTAATTATAAGATATTTTTATAATAATACCCTTAAACTATTTCTAGTCTAAGGCAAATCTATAATTGCATGCTTAAATTATTTTTAGTTTTTTAGACAAAATCTATTATTGTTCTATGGTTCTTGTGAGTCAATTTAAAATCGAGATTTGTCCGAACATATGATATTGGATACCAATTAATCATCGACATACAATATCTTTAGATTTGGAATTCTCTCTCCTATGAGATTTCAAGGTGTGTTTCGGGGCATTACCATTTCAGTGCTAGTTTCCATACTTGATACGATAGTCACACTGTTTAAGTGGTTTTTTGATTTTTACACAAGGAAGAAAGAAGTGAAGTGAAGGAGAACATCATATTTGTCAAAAGATAGAGAGAATAACAGCTGCTGAAGTACCCAGTTTAAACAATCAATCATTTCCTGGGAGACTTGGGAGTGAAGATTAATCAATTTGATTGATCTGGGAGACTTGGGAGTAAGGATCAATCAATTTGATTTTTGTTAGGAAACTTGGGAGTGACCAGAGAGTCCAATTCCTCCAGATTCTCCCAAACATTGTTTTTTTTAGCGTCTCAATTGCTCCAATAAGAGGTCAACAATGTCGAGAATTAAGGAGGGGAAATTAAATCAGCTCATTGATAAGTGACTTCCGGTTAGCTTAATCTCTGCAATTAATTTCCTGACTTTGCATCATGTTGTCCTAGTCTTCTTCACCTTCTCAATTGGAAGCCTCCCGATCTTTAATTGTTGGCACACCTTGGCTTGTTCTCCACTTGACAACCGGTCCATCTTCAAAGCCCGCCGTATCAAAAATTTTTCAACAAGAAACCCAGCAACCTACAACACACATTAAGAACATGTCTATATATTTAACTAATAGGAAAAGAACAAATTTTGCCCCAATTACCTCTTCATCTTGAAACACTTGGGTTGACAAATCCAAGCATCGACGGATAGCCCGTTTTTCCCTCCTGATAGACAACACCATTAATTAAAAAAACATGAGTGGCTGACACCAATACATGAGTTTACACTACAAGAAAAGATGGATAAGATGACACCAATACAGGACACGTCTTAAAAAGTGTCATTACAAGTTATTAAAGACACTTTATGTCTCCAATATATTATACAGACAGATTTACGAAGTATGCAAAAAATGTTTTCATCTAGAGTTATTGAGATTGGGGAATCCTCTGTTCCCGCCCTCCACAAATCAGCTCCGCCGTCCTATGCCTACCTATATTGTTCCCGGCTATCCCAGGAGTGCCCGCTTCTCTGGTCAGTGACGTAATCTTGTACCACTGCACCGCGAACAAGATCACTTTGACTATTCAGATCTTTCATGACTCGGAGACTCACGACACGACCAAACCACCTCAGGTATTTCCTAGGAACAATTGCATGAATTTCCCAATAGAAATAAAAATCCTCGTTGCTTCAATTAACTTTCAACAAGAATTCTTGCATTCCATTATCACTTTACAGTAAGAGGTTTTCCATTTGGCTTGAATTCAAGGGTTATTCGTGGCTAGCAATATCCCTTCATGGTTTCGTCTCAGCTTCTCATTTGAAACTACTTGATATGGGGAAACATAAATATTTAAGCAAAACAATATCAAGGATTGTAAAGAGACTAAGAATGGTTGTCTCATGACATTCTACCACCCTCAATCTCAGATCACTAGCATTAATTAATGACACAGAATCAATTTGTTATCAACCTAATTCTACCTACTGTGCCTTCATAAAATAAACTTCTTCATAGAATTGGGTTAGGATTATGCAGGTTTAAGGATACCACAGCCCCCTATTTGAAGCATAATCTAACAACCCTTGCAACTACAACCCCAGCTCTCCTTAGCTTCTCGAATCTTGTAGGTGGGTCTAGACATAACATGTGTTAACTCTCTAAGCAATAATTTAGTCCTTCAAACTATGTATTATACGAAATCTGTTTGTTAGGGGTAGTTATCTATTCTAGCATACCATTTAGCTACTCATTTTGCTCAACTGGCCTAGTGTCTCCTAATTGTCCTTATATTATATCTAAAATTATTGTATATTGCTAGTGTTACACCTGTCATATGACTCAATTACCAGATTAGATCTTTATTAGGCTTCATGTTTATTCCATTACTTCCATGTTATATATATATATATATATATATATATATATATATATATATATATCCACACACCATCTCATTTGAATTTCTTTTTAAATGCAAAATATTGATTGATCTGATGCTCTTCTAAAATGTAATGGGAACTTGGGAAGGCTATTATATTTTTCTTTTTACAAGTGGAACACCAACATTAGATTATAATGTTGCCATGTTAGTAACCTAGGCAATATGACTCACAAGTAAAAAAAATAGAGTAAAGACAAAATTATATATGCAACACAAAAATGAAGTTACTTTGATACCATGTGAATTATGAAAGAGAACTAATTACTAGTGTTAGAACACTTCACATGTGATTACAAATTATGCTAAGAATATATATGTATTCCAAATACCTTCTCAGAAAATGTTTAGAAGAGTTCAACACATATCATCCAAAGTTGAGGTAATGAGCTAATCCTTTTCTGTAATTGCTCCCAACCGTGATGGTTTTTCTCTATGCTATGTATGTTTCTCCTCCTTAAGAAAACATCTGTTCTCTTATCCTTGAATACTACTTGCATAGTTACATGTGGAGAAACTAATCACCCTTACTTTCTACCATGTCATTATGCAGGTGGTATTGTTGTTAGCAACAACAGCATCTCGATCTTTCTTATGGGATGACTTAGTGACCGTGGAATTGTCTCCGGGGAAGAGAGATGTCATGAATGGCCCCCCCTCACGGCTTATTATATATTTGCAAAGTCGATTGCTGGTAAGGACCAAGTTTACACCATAAACTGACAGCCAAATTGTAATCAAGCATTTGAGGTTTATTCATCAATCGAGCTGGCAAGGACTACTTATGGGCCATTTGATTCAAAGGTTTGAGTTTCTACTTACTATGTAAGCCTCTAGGGTAGACGTTTCTCTAAATTTTTAGAATCATAGTGTTTAGGTTTTATTTTCTAAAGTTCTGATTAGTTCTCTTCAAATTGATTGAGCTTCTAAGTTTTTTTTCCTTCAATTCTACTTCCTTGAATGCAGTGTTCTTGTTTTAGCGAAATAAATCCTAACTGTTGAAATGCTTGTACGTGCTCTAGTATTTTTTGTATTAGGGCAGTAGAGTTTTTCCTGGTTTTGTAGAAGTATGTGTTTTAATTCCCAGTACTCTTTCCATCTTGTTTCCAGCATCTCTTCCTCCCAAGTATCCATCCATCAAAGAACAATGAATTGCCGCTAGCTAGTAAGCTTCTTGCACACTTGTGGGCATCAAAATATGTGGATTTTTTGGCATACAATGATCATGGACTTCAGCAGTGTATCAGCTGAGTCATACACACACCAGATAACACATGCAACAAATGCTGGGAATGAAGAAGGCTATTTTAATGAAAGTAATGTTTATCCTAATTAAATGCATATAATCTCCATTTGTTTTTAGCTTAGTAGGCTTGTACATGTTGGGAATTTTCTCTTAGGTCTATGGTTGTAATTACTCCGTAGATCAGATACTCTTGGCTTGTACTTTGTAACTTTTTTGGAAAAAAAAGACAAGTGTTATATGATCAGCACGGTACATGTGACATTTAATATCAATTTTTCTTATTAATCTTACTGTGACACTACATAAAAAAGGGGCACTATTAGCTATTTTGAAGATGCATTTTAAGTGTCTTCTTATAAATTTAAGGACACATTTTTTATAATCTTTGAAACACACAAATAGTGTCTTAGTATAGAAAAGAGGACACATCTATCTATCTATCTCTTTACAAAAGGAAAAGGAATTTTTTTCCTGCCCAAAATTTTAGCGGTAAACGGTTGGGCCGGGTAATTTATCGGGTTAGGCTGTTGATTGGAGTATTATTTTGGGGTTATCTCAAAGTAGTTCGGCAGTTCCACCCCCACCCACATCATTATCAACAGTTATGTATTTTTTACTCTCTCCAATCCGTCCACTACTTTTAATTTCAACAGTCCAGCTTCTTATCCATTCATCTATATATGTTCACCGTACTGCTGCTACACAGTATTCCCCAATCACCATTCAATTGACAATTCCTTCAAAAGTGACCATATCATAGTTTTTTCCTCTTCATTTCAGACAGAGAGTTACTATCTCAGCCACCTTAATTTTCTTCTCTATCGCATGTTGATCCCTGGGCAGATCCCAAGCTCCGGAAGGGAGACGACACAGAGAGAAGGGGGTAATGATGCAGAGAAAGGACGCATGGCTGCACCAGGTTAGGGTTCCGACCCTAGAGCATCCAGTGGTTGACTACCGGTGACAACTACTCCCATTAAATTTTGGAGATAAAAAGGTCAGGCAATTTTGAGTCCAAGTTGAATCTTTTCCAGGTTTCAGGTGTTTACAAGGCATGTTCCAACACTTAATGAAACAAGAGGAGGCCTTGGACGGTGGTGACCATGGTACATCTTTGTCACATGGTCGTATCTCACATGGTACATCTTTATCGCTACTGTCTTTTTAAACTGTAATTCTTTTTTACTAATTAAAAGCTAAAATTTTGTATCTATTTTGCCCAAACCCCAAACCTATCCTCACCCATTTAATATTACTTGGTGGACCTTGAGAAGAGTAATGTGCCTGTATGGGAGAGTTTTATTTGAGTGAAATGCACTTTAGTTTCATATAGAATATGTGAATGTGCTTATTTGTATGAATTATCTAAATAAATTTAAATAAAAAAATCCTTAAACTAAATAATGGCCGACTAAGTAATCTTTTTTTTTCTAAATATTCAGTTTCTACAATGTGCAATCATTGAAATCAAATTCTACAAGCTCATATATAAAGCTTTAACAAAGTATTCTTAATTTAAGAACCAAAAGAAAAGATTTTGTGAGGTCTATGTTGTGAAAGTCCACCACATACATGCTAGCAGGTGAGGTTTATATTTTGAAATGATGTTTTTTTTTGTTTTTGCTAGTTTTTTGGAAAACAAAATATTTTCCAGTTTACACATGGGGTCTGGTGATTATATTCTTTGCCATTTATGGATTAGATGTGAAAGAATGGTGGATATATTCTTAATTTTAGTAGTGATTATATATGAGGCTTTTGATGATAATTGTGTACGAAGACTATATGGAGCAGATTGTCACAATGAAAACTTGGTTTTCATTTGTGCTTTTGATGGGAGGTGATGTGCTCTTTATGAAGGTGTCGGTTTGATATTGCCTAGACTATAAACTATTTATATATCTCAATGTAACCATCTAAGTTGCAAGTCATTTAATAAAGTATTACAAAGACGTTTATTAGAAAATGATTGTTTAAATGCAAGTAGTTACTTTTTTAAACTATTCCATTCAAAAAACTGAAATATGCACTTCTGGAATCCCATCAGCTTTGGAATCCAGTTGCACTTCCATCATGCCAAGGCGTGTTTTTTCCCATGAAAACCTCTCTATGAATGAGTATTATTTATGCATGTTATTATGGCTTTAGCTCTTACTTTCATGTGCAGTTTGATACTCAACTTGGATAAATATGTCATCTCTTTAGAGACTTATTCCCTCCGATCCTTCACTAAAATCACTTCATTTATCTATTTACTTCGTTCTTTCATTTATAATTTACTCAATTTATTCCGCCCTTCCATAGCTTTGTAATGTACCAATTTGGTGAAGTTAATTATAGATTATGTTTGGTAGTTTCACTAAAATTAAATCAGACTAATGTATGTGTTAAATCAAGAGTTGTTGCTCAATTGATCAATTCAAGTGACTGAAAAGTAAAGGGGAATTAAAAGAATGACTTAATATTTAAATTATGTGGAATGCCAATAATATTAAGTATATCTTGCAGGGACAATCCACTATTCTTCCATATCTAATCCAAAAATGGCTCCGAAGCAGCCGAGCAGTGGGCTATTTGTGGGGCTTAACAAAGGTCATCAGGTGACCAAGAAAGAACTTGCTCCATGCCCCTTCGATCGAAAGAAAAGGAAAAACGAGTAAAAGGGCACATTTCATAAGAAAATCATATCAGAGAGGTTGCTAGATTTGCACCTTATGAAAATGAGCTTTTAAAAGTTGGCAAGGACAAGCGTGCACTTAAGGCTTCCAAGAGGAAGTTGGGCACTCACAAGAGGACCAAGAGAAAGAGAGAGGAGATGTCAAATGTTCTCCATAAAATGAGAGCTATTGGAGGAGGTGAAAATGAGAAGTGATCTCTAATATCGAGATTTTTTAAATGAATTTGCCAGTGTATTCTATTTTTAGAGTTTGATATTGACACCAGAAGCTTTTTTTATAAACACTGCCTTGAGTACTTCTATTAGTGTGGTTTTGAACACCTCCATGTATTTTTGGTAAAAGATAAAGATCAATATGAAAGAAACTTTACCATGAGAGCCTCATGTCCCTCTGAACCATACGCAACAGGATCTTTTTGAATCCGGCTGCGATGTCTCCGAATGCCATCAAAAAACTCTCATATGCTCCTTCTCTAGACTGAAAAAGGGAAGAAGAAAAAAATGAATGAAATCGATTTACATAATAAAAGAAAATATATTTGAATTTAAAGGATACCTCTTCGCACTTATTGTGCGCGAGGTGATTACGAAAATATCGTATTATTGAGAAGCACCCTTCATCTTCATTGTTGGGAGCACCCACGGCATATGCATGAGAGAAGGGGGAGCTAAAAATGGTTTCTCTCCAATCCTCCAGATGAAGAGCTTTTAAAGCTTTGGCAGCGCCATCCAAAAACAACGGATTATACAACTCCCTGTAATAAATTATGTAATGGAGTTTTCCCATCAAATGGAAACCCTCCATCAGTAAGGAAGGCGGTTGCGGCTGGGGCGTGGTACGAGGCTGGGGTGTGGAACGAGGTTGGGCTAAAGAGTAGGAGACAGCCGCTCCTCCGCAGCGGCGGTTAATGAGGGAAGAAGACTGAGAGTAGAGACGGCCTCTCGCCACCTGCAACAGCATCATCGTCGTCGTCGTCTTCGGTTTTTACCTAAAACCAAAGACAGAACGAAAGGGATATTGGCGGTTCGATTCAGTTTTGTATTGAAAAAAGAAAACCAATCGTTATAAAAGTTTTAACTCTCTCGCCATTAGTCCATAACAATAGACTACCCACCACCATCAGTTTTAACTTTTAAGTCATCAATGTAAAAAACAAGACTAATTGCAAATGGCACTCATTGGAGAAGTGGTGGTGAAATTGGTGATGATGAACTTGTTAGTTTATTATAAAAACTAACATGGGTTAGAATTATATAAACTAGTTAATGACTTTTTTTATAATATTTTAGCATTTTTGGAATGGTCAGTAGAGGGTGTAGCCATCTGGTCAAGAAGTTTGCACTTTTTGTTTAGTTATATGACACAAAATGGTATCCTAGTTTTTATTCTTCTAAAGGAACAATTACAAAATGCAACAAATTAAGAGGTGTGAAGTCATTACAGTCGTAGCTTGTTTGTAGAAAAGAGTAATGGAAAGTACATATATAAATAATCAAACTAAGCCCTCCAAAGACTTGTCCTTCATGATAATAATCAATGTGATGGAAAGTATATAAATAATCAAACCATAATATAAATCTGGCCTTCTTGCCATGATGATATCTTATTGGTATTTTATTAGAAAGTTCTTCTTGCTTTACATGTGCATTTCATTTTACACTCTATGACGTTTTTGTTGTTGAATTTTAATTGTGGTTGTTAATTGATGATAAATACAGCTGGTTGTGTGAAATTAAAAATTGAAAATGAAGAGGTGAATATTTCAATTAAGAGATGAGATGAGGAGAGGTACCACGGGACAAGATTCACCGGAGAAGGCGATTTAGGGTGACCGGTGGTGTCCGGACAGCTGAACGAACATGGGGATTAGCGCTCTGGGCTCGGTCGACGCAGTCTCGCAGCGCTTCAGAAGCTCCGTCTCACCGACTGTGCTCGAAAGCTCCGTCTCCCCGTCTATCCGTCTATGCTCGGATACTCCGTCTCTCCGCCTGTGCTCCGATTCACAGCCGCTGCTAAGGGTTCCGACTTCTGAGCTTTGGCTTGTGGGAAAGGCCGAAATGAGCCGAAATGATTGGAGTTGGGACATTGGGTAGGGCTTTGGCCCAAGTAATACGGATAATAATAATAATAATAATAATAATAATAATAATAATAATAATAATAATAATAATAATAATAATAATAATAATAGTAATAGTAATAATAATAATAATAATAATAATAATAATAATAATAGTAATAGTAATAGTAGTAGTAGTAGTAGTAGTAATAATAATAATAATAATAATAATATTGGGGCTGTTTGGGATTGTTCGGGTTGTTGTAAAACACCCAATAGGGCTTTTTGGTCGAGCTACGGGCTCGGGCAGCCGGGTCGGCTACCGGTGGTGGTGCCGGGGTTGGTCTGGTGACATTGGGGACTGCTCCGGCGGGGGCAGCAGGCTTTAGGATCGATTCCTTGGGCTCGATTCCGCGCAAGTAAGTTGGGTTAATTGTAATTTTGGTTTGTTTGATTATGCATGACGGTAATCGTGGGTCTTCGGCCCGGATAGGCCGCTACGTGATTTGTTGTGAATTGTGAATTGAGATTTAATTTAAATTGATCTTATTCGTGAAGATTGTGGATTATGAATAATATGTGGGAAATAGGCCACCTAGTATAAATAGGCGGACCTGAATTGGATTGACTGTTTGAATCACCAATAGGATATGGTTAGGAAATTGGCCATTGCGGGGCGTCGTCGCACCCCCGGTGGTCTTGGGTTAAAAACGTACGTACGGAAGTCCGCAACCTGTCCTAGCATCGCAGGGATAGGGGCTTCAACCCGCCCAAAGTGAATCTCCTTTGGGTTTCTGAGCTGGCCCTTTTATAGCATCGCTTGGAGTGCCATGACTCAAAGTAGTTGATGTGGAATAAAATAAGGACATGATGTTCAAATGGAAGGTGTTAATATAAATATGTTTATTTAAGCTATTTTCTCCGTGATCACATGATGTTGTTGATTGTATGTTAATGTGGTCCTATTCTGTGAGTTAATGCTGGCTTAGGTATATTTTCACTCAGCGTTTCGCTGAGCGTGTAGTCGTTGTTATTTGACTGCACGGGTAGGAACACAGATTTGGATGGGCAACCCGAAGGGCAGTGAAGTGGTGGTGTGGCGTGGATGGCTCTTGTTTACTTTAGTAATTAAACTACATTGTTTTATTTGATTATATGGACGGTTGAACGTTACTTTGGTTTTCTTATGCTTCCGCGACGTTTGGATTTATTTAACTATTCTGGTGAATTCAGGTTTAGTTAAAACCCTACGGACGAATTTTATAATTGATTTAATTGTTCAATTTAGGAAAGAAAATTTAGGCATGTGAGCACCAACTTAGTAACAATCTGATTCGCTAACCCGTTGGTTCGGGTTACGCGGGTTGGGGTGTTACACATTGATAACAAATTTCTCTCCACTTATATGTTACCAAATCAATTTCTTCACTACTTGTCCGAGATTACTGCCTCCCTGCATGCCTAGGTTTTTTCAGATAATTTCAACCCGAGAATCACGGATGCCCAACTCTTATCCCAAAACAGTTGACTCTACTTAATTTTATCCATAACCATTTTGAACTCTTAGAATTTTACTAACACTTAATTTTTTCATTGTTTTTAGTAACTCTTAAATCAATTGATTACAGATTTTTCTCAATTTATATAGGAAAAAAATTACCCAAAATAATCCCAACTTTACCTGGTCTTTCAAAAATAATCCCACCTTTCACTGTGATGCATAATAATCTCAACTTTATTGAAATTTGCCAATTTTGGGTCGCCGTTAAGTTTCTAACGGGGGATTAACGGAAATGCATGTTTTAGGCAACAAAATGAAAGTTGAGATTATTTTTGATGAATTTTCTTTTTTTTAAAATTTTTCATTTAAATTTTTTTAATTACTTTCTACCTCCATCATCATTTCTTTTTCCATTTTTAAAGAATAGTCTTAGTTTAAAAAATAAAAATAATAGATATAAAAAATGAAAAAATGAGAAATGTAACTAAAATGATACAAAAATAATAAAATAAATAAGGTAATCAATGGAAACTAACTTGAAATTGGTAAAAGTAAAATAAAAATATACCCGTGGGTTTTAATATTTTACGCATTGTACAAAGTATTAACATATCACTTCTTATTTTTTAGAAAAAATTATGTACAATAATTCCAACTTTATCGGACAGCTTGTTCTTTTAAAAAATAAGTAGTACATTAAGACTCTGTATAGTGTGTAAAATGTTAAAACCCACCACTCCGTATATATTTATTTTATTTTTAGCAGTTTCTGTTTAATTTCTATTGATTACATTATTTATTTGATTAATTTTGTATGGTTTTAGTTATTTTTCTCATTCACATTATTTTTTATATCTATTTTTTTCTAAGGTTAGATTAATCTTTAAAAAAGAAAAAGAAATGGAGGTTGAAAGTAATTCAAAAATTTTAAATAAAAATTTCAAAAAAAAATAAAAAAAGAAAATTTATCAAAAATAATCCCAACTTTCATTTTGTTGCCTAAAACGGGCATTTCCGTTAACCCTCCGTTAACGGCAACCCAAATTTGGCAAATTTCAGTAAAGTTGGGATTATTATGCATCACAGTGAAAGGTGGGATTATTTTTGAAAGACCGGATAAAGTTGGGATTATTTTGGTAATTTTTCCATTTATATATTATCAATTCAATTTCTTCCCTAGCTGGCATGAGCTTACTACTTGCCTACCTAGGTTTTAAGTCAATTTCAACCTGAGTACTATAGATGTTCATCCTTACTCCAAAATAGTCGACTTTACTTAATTTTATCCGTGACCTTTTTGAACTCTTACTAACACTCAATTTATTCATTGTTTTTAGAAACTCTTAAATTGATTGATAACAAATTTTTCTCCACTTATATGTTATCAAATCATTCTCTATGCTAGCTAGCCCGAGCTTACTGTGTGCTTGTTTAGGTTTTTTCAGACAATTTCAACCCGAGTACTACGGATGTCCATCCTTTACCCCAAAGTAGTCGACTCTAGTTCATTTTACCCGTAACCATTTTGAACTCTTAGAATTTTACTAACACTCAATTTATTCATTGCTTTTAGAAACTCTTAAACTAATTGATTACAGATTTCTCTCCACTTATATGTTATCAAATCATTTTCTCCGCTAGTTGATCCGAGCTTACTGTGTGCTTGTCTAGGTTTTTTTCAGACAATTTCAACCCGAGTATCACGGATGCCTACCCCTTACCTCAAAACTGTTGACTCTAGTTGATTTTATCCGTAACTATTTTGAGCTCATAAAATTTTACTCCCTCTGTCCCATTTTAAATTGCATGTTTGCATTTTTTTTCGTCCCAAAATAAGTTGCGTGTTACTTGTTTTTTTAACTTTTAAAGTAAAATCCCTAAACTACCCCTAAAATTAGTTACTCTTTTCCACTTTATCTTTTCATTCATCGTCATCCTTCCTAAAAAGTAATGGTAATTTTTGAAAATCAACTTTATTTTTTCTTTTTCCTTAAATATGTCTAAAAGTCAGAATAGGCGATTTAAAACGGGACAGAGGGAGTACTAGCTAATGGAGATGGAAGATGTACCTCAACATATTCGAAGTTGAAAAAGAAAAGTTTTCATAATGTGCTCACATGTGTGAGAAATGTCCTTAAAATGAAAGAAATAGTCGGTATGACTCTCCAATTTTGATTTAGTTCATGTCATGAATGCGATCGATGAGTGGATACTCGGTAGTGATTTTTTGGGTAGTTGTGGTGAGCAAGTACCGAGGTGAAACTGAAATTTCGCAAAAAAACTAAGATTAACAAATCGAAAGCACTCATTTGGGGGGGGGGGTGCATTTCAGATTCAAAAGCACTCATTTAAAAATCTGAGATACGATTAAATTAGCCTTTGAGGGGTAAAGAAAATCAAACCTTCATGTCTTAATAGTTTACTGCATGCATTTAACCAATGCGCCAAAAATCAATGAACTCTCAGATAATTTTGTAAAAGAGCAATTAAGATTAAAACAAATTTAACAGACCACAAGCCAAAAAGACAAAATAGACACAAATTCCTTTTATACACAGGCTAGGAGTCAGATTAACTTTGAGATATCAAATTACATAACCATAACATAAATATAGCATAACCAACAATTTGATCTTAACAACATAGTTGTCAATACCCCACACACACACACACACAATACGCGAATCAAAGTTCTCACAAAATACATCATACTTATAGATAAAATTAAAACACAACTTAGTAGAACTAAGGAAGTCCGTGTGTGCAGTGCGTGTGTGTGTGTAACCAAACCGAACCAAAAACCAAATTTTCCAGTTTAATTACTGGTTCAGTGTTTCGGTTCCCCTTTTCTCACACACTCCTGAGATCTGATTAGGCGCCTCTAATCTCTCCCTCCGGAGACGTGCAGCTTCCTGGTTTCTCACAAACACCTCATGGTATTTAGGATCATACGGTACAGCCTGACCATTGATGAATGGCTCGCCTGCAACAAAATGGTTGATAAGAGATTTGATTTTTGAGGGGGCTTTGATCTATAAAGCGAAAAAGCTGAGAGCAACAAATTAAAACATGCTCTTTGAATCCATACATACAGAGAAATTACTTTCTAAGTTAAACTTAAGAGCAAATAAATTCAAGGTAGAAAGATACTTGGGTGAAAAGGGATAAACTGATCAATTTTTAGACTCAATTCAAATGGAGAATGATTGCTAAGCTTAGAATTACAATAACAACAAATCATGTAACTTCATACCCCCATAGTCCTTGTTTCTGATATCCATGTAAGAATCTGGAAGCACAAGCTTAACCCCTTCCAAATCTGGGGAAAAAAATATCGGCAAAAAATTTAATATTAAATCCTTCGATTTTAAATGTTAAATCCCAAAACAGATTATGTAGCATTAAAAAAAAACTACCACATAAGTCTTCAGCGAGTTCCTCTGACACAAGAGCCCCAAATGCATAATAGTGTCTAGTTGAGACAGAGTATATCCTCATCCTTGCCTCTTCCTCACTAAAAGAATAAATCAACACATTTAACCTCCTCAAAAAAAAAAAGTCATTTAACTTAGATTCTTACAATTAAGATGTTCCTTTCATTTTGGGTACACGTTAATCACACTTGTCTATTATTACATAAATGAATCAAGTTCATAAAAAGTCATTGTACCATCTAAGCGAAGATACAATCATCCAGTACAAAAGAAATATGACCACCTCACCACCCATTAAGAGACAATCAAGCTTACAGAAATCAATAAACAGATAAACCTTACTATATACAATGGTAAGATGATAAAAAGAATAGTGTTCCCGCCCATTTGTTAAGCTACAGTAGCCGCATGACTTTGGACCGCACATTCCGATCAAAAACCCTGGTGAATTTTCCTGCATGCTCATTTTAGTGTACGGGTGACACTTTGGACCGCACATTCACTTTCTTTTGAAGAAAGAAAATTTCGACCTTATTTATAAAGAAGTACATATCTCGATCGATGCATTTTGTTACTAGAATTCCGCCGGATCAGCAGATCTTCACCGGGAGGCAGCTTGAAGACGGTCGGACCCTTGCCGACTACAACATCCAAAAAGGTAAAACATTTAATCTAGGGTTTTGTTCTTGATGCCTTTTTGGATTCAATCGCCGTGGAATTTCATCTTTGTTGGTGCTTGATTTGGGATTCAAGCAGTCTACTCTGCATCTGGTGTTGAGGCTTCATGGTGGAAATATCGAGCAGTCTTTGATGGCATTGGCTAGGAAGTACAACGCTGATGAGAAAACTATCTGCCGCAAGTATGTTCTCAATTTCTCATCCTCAACATGTTCGTTTATTTATTATCATCCATTGAATCTATGTCCTTTTTAAAATTCCAATTCCAGTTCTCGAAATTGGGATTTTTCAACTCTCAATTCATCCTCTCTGTTGCCCATTCCTAACGTAGCGTAAGGGACGATGCTCAAAGAAAGGCCGTATGTGAGCCGTGATCTCTTTGTTTGTCATTCGTTTGAGTCAACCGTACGCTTCATCTAGATCTCTCTTTTGTTTATTTTAAGCAACTCCTATTTTAAACCAGACAAAATAAGGTTTTGTTTTAACATTTAAAACCAAAGAATTTGATCTTGAAACATAATAATCAAGCACCTGGGAAGGTAAACTTAGGACACAGACAAGCTAAATTACTCTTAGTTGTGTTTTGATCTAACTTTAGGTTAGGAGCTCTATTCAATTGCTAGCACCAAAAAGCTTTTAAAATGATTTTAGGGTTACGTTAGAATGAGAAGCTATTGTGATTTGAGATTGCCAGACATTGGGAAGGTTTAACTTGATGAGGAAGCACTTTTAGCCGCCAAAGATCCTCCCATGCATTCAATTGCGTCCATCTGTGATCTTGAATGGAACATGATTGCTAATCATCAATCTGCAGTAGCCACCCTTTAGTGAAGCAGGGGCTTAACACGACCCGTTGAGTTTTAATTTTGGAGGGTCCAGCTACTGGCAGAGGTGAAGACAACAGGGCTAGGCTAGAATTTCAATCCTATCTTCCCTCATAGATGATGGGTGGGGCAACACAAAGTAGATGTTGCATTCAGAGAATAGGTAACACTTTCTTTCTATTCGATTAGTTTGTTTATTTGGTTCCATGTATTTTGTTTCTTATTTTTTTGAGATCTTAAAATTGTTGAAATTTGTTTTCAAATTATCCCTCATTTTAGTTTTATGTTTGGATTTGATTGTGAATTATTTTGAAACTTTTGTAGGATAGTTTGGCTATTCTTTTGTAGGGTGGAAGAGAGCTCATTCATGCCCAAAGGACCATCTTTGGGTATGTAATCATTCCCTTTGTCTTTCTCAATTTAAAACTCGAGCATTCAATACACAATCCTGTAATTCTAATTGCTTAATCTTTTTTTATCTTTATACTCAAACCGAGTTCAGAGATATGAACTAGCACTTCAATCATATTATTATGAGGGATACAAAGGGCTAATGTGTTTTGTTCTTTTGTGCAGTAATTGGCTCTTTTCTCAGCAGTTTTGTTCTTGCTTTTTTCTTTTAGATGGTGTATGTTGACTGGATCATTTTGAGGGAAATCCTACATGTACACCAGAAATTTTAGTATATGCCTGGATGAAAAAAGGGGGTGTCAACCAATCCCGAAATCTAGGATTATAACTTAGATGTTAGATACCGCAAGAAATTGATATACTGACACACAATGAGCTTTCTCCTGTGTGGGAAGAAAAGAAAAAATTAGTCAACTTAGCTAAAATTTGATATCTTCTGCTTCTTGGTTTTGATTCTAGGTGTAGAAATGAGCTTCCTACTTTGTGGGAAAGAAAAAATTACTTTTGTTGACATTACAGTATAAGTATTTCATGTTAATTACCTTCTAATGGTTGGTATAGTTTGATGATATTATTACTTGGGTATTGATTTCCAGGCCAATGGGAAGGGAGTGGCAACAACCATTTCAATTTTTCTTCTCATGGCTGAATGGTAATTTTTCTTCTCCATTTCATTTTCTTCTCAATTCATTTTTTATAAGTGAACCACTAGAATAATGGATTATTTTGAACTCAATTTCCTTAATTCCATTTTTACAATTCTGCATGTTGGGAACACTTCTTAGACTTTTAGCACATAGTATCAAAATGGATGGGAGACACAAAATGATTGACATAATGTCCCCATGAACTTCTCCCAAGGTACTGCTTTTTTTTTCTTTCAAGACAATTTTTTTGTTCACTAAAGTTAATAGAATTAATATGTGATTTTAAAAAAGACTTTGTAGGCATGGTTGCTTCTCCATCACATTAGTAAAAATAAAGCTAATGACTAAATGGATTTTTTAAAACAGTTAATACAATGATCTCTTTAATCAGTTCTAGCATGATGAAAATAAACTTTAAGACTTTAATTTGCCAAAAAAATAGTTTTTTTGTGAAGGAGTGGACCAATAGACTTATCTGTAAGTATTTTTTGTCCAAACATGTAGCAATACTCATATGTTGTTTAGTTATTTAAACTTGAGCTCTCATCATGAAGACATAAGAAATGGATAAGAAAAAGAATGTTTATTCACAATTCCAAGGGCTGAAATGGGTATATGGGCATGTTTAAGATTGACATGTTAATTGAGGTTTGATATTACAATATAAGTATTTCATGTTAATTACCTTCTAATGGTTGGTATAGTTTGATGATTTTATTACTTGGGTGTTAGTTTCCAGGCCGAAGCAAAGAAACTATCAAGGCCTAATGGGAAGGGAGTGGCAACAACCATTACACTGAATAGCTACAGTTAAGAACCATTACCACAAGTACAATGAGGGTATGGTAATAAGACACAATTTCATTTGATTCCATCATCCTCCTCGACTTGAAGCTATTATTCAATTTTGAGTTTTAGTTTTGATTTTCTTTACAAAATTAATGTCTGCTTTCGAGTGCCACTTTTTCAAACCTCAACCCCCTAAGTGGTAGTTGAGAGAAACTCGTTTTTCTTCATCCCATCAGTTCAGGGAGCACAAAGTCAGTGAATGAAACATAAAATGATTATATATTTGTTAATTCAATTGTTAATTTGTCAATGACTATATATACACTCTACTCGGCAAAAAAAGAAGAAAAAAAATGTAATTGATAGATGTGAGGAACTTAGCAAAAAATTGATGAACTTAGCAAAAAAATTGATCTTTTATTTCTTTATTTTGATTTTTGATGTAGAAATGAGCCCTCCAGTGTGGGGACGAAAAGAAAAAACTAATTAGCTTAGCAAAAAATTGATCTTTCTGTTTCTTGATTTTAATTATAGGTGTAGAAATGAGCTTCCTACTTTGTGGGGAAGAAAAGAAAAAAAGTGACAAGCTTAGCAAAATTTTGACCTTTTTTTTCTTCTTTTATATTCTTGATGGAGACATGAGCTTTTGACGTAGGGGTATGGCCTGCTTATACTAAAAGTCAAGCTAGACACCATTAGTGGAATTGTACTAGGTTTGTCGTTGGTGGTGTAAAAATGAGCTTTGTGATTTCAATGGCCTGAATCTTTTTTTAAATATGATTGGATTTGGTCGCATATGATTAACAATATATAAATGACAGAATTTAGGCATTAAGATGTTGAAATGAGCTTTGACAGCCTAATTGTTAAACAGGCATTCACTATAGAATCCCAAGTCTCCCCCCCCCCTCTCTCTCTCTCTCTATTTCCACCTAATATGAAACCATACAAATTTAGGTTTTAGTTTATAAAAATGAATGCACAATGCACTCACCTAGAATTTTCATTTTTTTTTAATTTTTCTTCACTATTAATTTTCAAGTTTTTTGCCCGAAAGACTGTAAAAATTGATCAAAAAAAGTTTTCAATTTTTTTTACAATCACCTAAATTCAATTTCTTGGTACTTCGTTTTTCAGGAGAAACTACCATATTCCAATTATGTTAGTTCAATTGTTGTTGGGCTTTGATCATTAGTTATAATAAATTGGATTATTTAATTCACTTTTTATTACTCTATTAATATAGGTTAAGCTTTGATTATGTAATTTTGATCATTTAACTGTTGCACCAAATAGAACCTATTGGATCAGCTCTTTTGTGAAAATCTTATTTAAAAAAGGTTTTTTAATCTTATTGCATCACCTTTTAATTATGAAATATTTAATAGGCTGAGCTCTACCTTAAGTATGTAATGAAGATGCTATTTTTATTTGCTTGATATTTAAAACATTCATATGCTTTCACAGTGGATCATTCTCTTTTGTGAAAAATCAATGTGTTTTGCACCTAGGTCTCTAAGCACGATGGGAATAAAGCCTGCAACAGCTGAAAATAAGTACCTGGTATTTCAAAGAAAATATTTTCCTGATATGTTTAAAGCATTCATGTTACATAGTGAAACATTCAACACTTTTGCTCAAATAGTTATATTGTGTTTTGGTTTATTGTTATTTTCACTACTATTTTTATTTCTTTGAATGAAATTTCAAAGTTGACTTTTCGTACATCATATCTAAATCTTAATCTATACAATGCTAGGATGTTTTTGAGACGGAGGGATTGGATTGTGTTTTTTGTGTCATAATAGTCTCTTTGTTCCGTATTAATATTTCTGAATGAATCGAGTTTGTAGTTTATAATAATAAAATTAGATCGTTCAAAGTAGTACAAAGAAGAGAGAATGATTTACGAGATACACCTAGGAAATGCTTTAATATCATGTAAAATTTTGTGAAGTCATTTACATGACTGCATTCCATACCGAAAAAATATGTATACAAGATTGCAAGTTAACACTTTACAACCCATGTATGCAAGTAATCCTCACCCGTAGGCATTAAGTAACCAATAGATATAGATTTTTAATTATGATCGGGTATAAGTTCCTACTTCAGAGCGGCCAATAACTATGTTAAGGATTTTTAATTGCAATTAAAAAAAGACCAACATCCTATAACTTTACAAATATAATTTAAGGAACAGTCATCTCAAAATAACTATGTTAAGGATTTTTTATATTTTCATAATGAACTAAAGCTGATAATCATTTTTTGCCCCTTGATTTAGAAGTTAAAATAAATTAATCATACCAAAATAATTAATACGTTATTTAGAATAAAAAATTGAATGTGCAAGTTACGAAATCTAGTTGGGCACAACACAAGAACCAAATCTTAAATACTCAAACTAGCTAGTGTTAGAATTTAGAACAAATAAGCAAACTAAGATTCATTAACAAAGCATTATTGGATATATTCAAACAGGAAGAACTGATATTAAGAGTTTCATTTCTGTTTGGAACACACTAAAACACACGAGATAAGCAAAAGGAATAAAGCACAATTGTAGAGGTCTTACCTTCCAACCACCTGGGCTAGGGTTTTAATATAGCTATCAATTATCTCGTCTCTCGAAGGAGGGCCTGCAGGATTCTCCATCACAACAAGCCAGTGCTCATAATCACACCCATCTAAACGCGTCTGATAAGATGTACGGTTCGACCGGTTAGGACTCGGATTGTTAATGAACGACGAGATCTGTCGAGTCTCGACCCCTGCAACCGAACCGGACACCGCAGGGTAATGACGGCGGACGCCGGCAGAGATTGCCACAAGGGGACGGTGGCGGAGGAAGAGCGAACTGGGAGACGGAACAAGAGAGGAGTGTGAACGAGTGAAGACCGCGCTAATGGCCGTGGTGATCCCAGATCGAGTCACGATACCAGTCGCCATAGCTAAGGCTCATTCAAGAATGGGGCACCCTAATTCTAATATTCTATCGATAAGAGAGGCATAGGACATAGACCCAGTGCCAGTCAGCCTTGATACAAATTATTAACCCATATGACCCGGCCTGGATTTGATGGGCTAAACTCTTTACTCATACCCGTCCATCTTAGCGGGCCGAACTGCCTACCAGGCCGCCCGGCCAGGATAAAACATCAAGAAAATCTTTTTTACACAAAAAAATCAAAAAGAAAATATTGAACTCGTTTTCAAATGTTTAAAATAAAATTATCACTCGCCACATTTACATAGAAAACATAATAGAAATATTGTTACATAATTAATAAAATCATCATACAGATTCATTAAAAGACTATTGATTTTTCTTTATAAGGGATGAGTGATATAAACTATTATACATGAATTGAAGAAAATTTTAAAATTTATATTATCTACTACCTCCGTCCCGCTATATTTGTCCACTTTTGACTTTTGGAACTGTTCATCTAAGCACTTTGACTCATCAAATTCTCGTAATGTGTATGCCTAAATATAGTTATGGGTGATCTTGTTTGATTTGTCTTAAAGAAGTGCATTGGATGAGGTATAAAAATGAAAGTAGACAAATACTCTAGGACGGAGGGAGTAGATAATTAATACTCCATCTGTCCACCATCGATCTTCCAGACACTATTCACAGAGTCAAACTTTACTCACTTTGTTTGCTCAATTTTACTAGTCATTTCATAAAATAATATAGTCTTGTCACCTCTAGTTTTGTAGAACCTTTCATGTAGTTTATTACTATATAAATTTTATTTTAAAATTTTACTCATATAATCAATTAAATTGAATTGAAAATNGGATGAGGTATAAAAATGAAAGTAGACAAATACTCTAGGACGGAGGGAGTAGATAATTAATACTCCATCTGTCCACCATCGATCTTCCAGACACTATTCACAGAGTCAAACTTTACTCACTTTGTTTGCTCAATTTTACTAGTCATTTCATAAAATAATATAGTCTTGTCACCTCTAGTTTTGTAGAACCTTTCATGTAGTTTATTACTATATAAATTTTATTTTAAAATTTTACTCATATAATCAATTAAATTGAATTGAAAATAAAGTCTGTCAAACCTCGTAACGCGTAATGGGAAGATCATACATGGACGGAGGGAGTAATAAAGTAAAGCCCTGTTTGGATGTTGGTGGTTAGCCGTTGGCTGTTGGCAGTTCGTGTCAGCTTTTGTGAATGGTTGTTTACTTCAGCTGGTTTGACCGGCAGGATGAATTGGCTGATTGTAGACACACACGATATTTATATATAGACACATACGATATTTATTTTTCATTTTTTTACTTGTAAAAATTAAATCTTTACAGTATGGAGTATTAAATTTTACTTTCAATTAATTCATAAGAAATTATTATTATACAACTTTTTTATTATTTTTACTTTTTATTTTCTCATTTCAGTTTTTTGAGATTTTAAATTTTTAAATTTAATTTTTTTTAGTATTTAATTTTTTTAACTTTTATTTTTATTTTTAGTTTTTACATATATTATAAAATATCTTTCAAGTCCAAATGCTACTCCCCTTGGCATTTCCTATTTTGGCTGTTCGAATCAATATGTCAAGTGAAAAAGCCATTAGCCAAACAACGGTTTGGCTGTTCGCTCAGTAAAAAAAGTCAAACTCAGTCAAACATGCCAAAAGCTATCCGAAAATTCGTTTTCCAAACAGTGCCTAAATGTATTTAATGAATATGGGCCGGCCTGTTGGCCCGGACCCGGATGGGCTAAAAGTAACTTTCAGATTCGTCCAAATACAATTTGAGATTGGGCCGGTCCGCCCACGTGGGTATTAAAGATTGTCCATATCCGCCCATGTGGATATTAAAGATTGTCAAATAGTTTTCACTTTTCTACTTCCTCCGTCCCTAAATAAACTTTCTTTTTTGACTTTTTGGAAAATTGAGGAAGAGATATTTTGGTGTTGACTTTCCAAAAATACCCTTGATATGATGTGTAAAAGCAAGATGTGATATGTAGATTATTAGCAAAAAAGTATGACGTGATAGGTAGGGTATGAAAAAGTAAGGGATAGAAGGGTTTTTAAGGGAAAAAAGAAATTTATTTGGAGACAAAGAAAAAACAAAAGTGCAGTGGAAGTTTAATTTAGGACGGAGGTAGTATAATTTTTTTTGATAATTTTCTTGGAAAAAATTATAACGAAAGAAAAAGATTAATAGATATAAAACATTAAACATATATTAAAATAAGAGTTTAATGTTTTTCAATTGCACGTCAATTGCAGCCACCCAATTTCGATCCCAATCCGTCCTTCAATTCCACCCACGTTAATACACCTTTAGTTGATTTTGAAGTTTAGAATGTTGACTTCTAAGTCTACTAAGCTTGCAGGTGCAATTGGCATAGGTAGGAGGATGAGTCGGAGTCGGGTCTGAGTGGAAGGATTTACTGAGGAAAGAAGGGGTAGATACTATTAATTTTACGAGCGAACCACCGCAGAGGGATTGTGACTTCCGTGCCCACTCAAATTGAGAGGCCATAAAATCCGTTTGTTGAGATTGGGCAAGATATAACGCCTAGAGATTTTGTAAAGGTGTATATGAATCGAATATGTTTAATTTGATTTGTATATGAAAAAAATGATTCGCATTTGATTAAATCAATTCGAATCCAAATACAAGAGTATAAATACAACGAGGTCTAATTTGTTTATAATTTGAATTATTCAATTTTTATAAAATATCAATAAACAAATAAATTATGCTATAGACTATTTGTACACGTTAGATTAAAATTGATGGCCAAGATATTTTCAAACTAACCCACCTCATTTACTTACATTCAAGAATTGTGTGTGAAAAAAATCTATTCTTTCAAANATTTGATTTGTATATGAAAAAAATGATTCGCATTTGATTAAATCAATTCGAATCCAAATACAAGAGTATAAATACAACGAGGTCTAATTTGTTTATAATTTGAATTATTCAATTTTTATAAAATATCAATAAACAAATAAATTATGCTATAGACTATTTGTACACGTTAGATTAAAATTGATGGCCAAGATATTTTCAAACTAACCCACCTCATTTACTTACATTCAAGAATTGTGTGTGAAAAAAATCTATTCTTTCAAATTTCGGAGTACGAACAATATTTTATATTCAAATTATTATCAAAATCAAACTTGAATACATGTCATTCTAAACAAACTAGTACATCACCCGTGCGATGCACGGAAAAAAACCTTATCCTAATTGTGAAAAATATTTTAAATATGAAATGTTAAATTGTCGGGTATTATTTTGAAAATAATATATAGGTAAGCACTTCAATTTATAAATATTTCCATTTCTATTAATTGGCATAGACATACAAAACATAAAAGTGAGAGAAATCAATAGTACTATGTTCATTAGATAATATGAGAATGAAGGATAATTAGATAATATGAAAATGAAAGACTAAAAACTGACCAATTAATTATTCTCAAATACCTCCTTATAAACTACATTTATTGTAGTGTTAGCTAGAATATTTTAAAATTACATATCATTATTTTTAAACAACGTAACGCAAGAGCGTAGCCTAGACATCATTACATACAGCTGTCTGTGACTGAAAACTGATTCTTTCAAGAACAGGTCAACATGAGAATGATTGTTCCTGACTTTTGCTTATGGTAATCGCGTACGATACCATTATCGAAAATTATCTTCTTTGAAACTTAAATGACAATATTGTATTTGAAGAAGTTAATGAAACCCGCATGATCATAAGAGCTTGTCATGCATTTTTCCGTGAATCATTTTTGCTTCCAAGAGACGGTTACCAAGTCTTGTAACAATTTACTGTACTCAATTACACAGATTGTTAGCATGATTGTTATCTTCTTGTTACATCTTATTTTATAGAATTTTTTTATATATTTTTAAACAATGTAATTTATATTTTTATTTTTATATCAATTTGTAAGAAAAATGATTTTATATGCATTCCTTGGAGAATTATAACTTTGGTTGCATCCTTTTATTTTTAAAAGGTGGCCGAAGTGTGGTTGATTCATCATCCATTAGAATGTGTTCGATGCGTCTACATGCTTCATTTCTATTTCAATGTTCTCTTTTTATCTATATGAATCTTTATTTTTAATTATTTTAAGGAATTGAATAATAAGTTAATTGACTTTTTATAATAATTGTGGGATTTAGAACGATCTATAGACTTTTTGGAATCTAAACAAATCAAGTTCATAAACTACATCAATATCAATTTAACTACAAATAGAGTTAAAATAATTCATTGATTTTATGTCATTCACGGAATATGATATATATCACGTAATCTTTAGAAATCTGGATTAAATACTTCTCAAAGATTTTGCCTACATGTATTTCAAATCTTCAATAAAACCAAATATAAATAAAAAACACAAAGTTGTGACTTTCGACACATGAAGGATTTTATACTCTAAGAAACTTCAATGACTCTTGCTCTTTAATGTACAACATTGAATGACATTTCCTTGGTGCTAAAATGAAATTCATATTGCCTATTCACATGGTTAAATTTTATTTGTTTTATCCACTTTTTGTTAAATAAAATGAAATAGTTATGTCACCTTTTTTATAGAATTATGTTGTAAGTCTTAAATATATAAAATTTTACTCCGAGTATCTTTTAATTCAATATCAATTACCCAAACAAATTGAATTAAAATTAACTTTAATAAAAAAATGTATCAATATTCAATAATGAGATAAAATTGATCTAGATACCTTGTAACATCCAAATCCAATTTTATACTTTGAGATTACATTGTCAACTAACATTATAAAGAGAAACATTTTTAATCTAATAGATCAGGAAAAAATATGAATTGAAATGAAACTCCGAATGCTACCATCAACACTGGTTACACTCATAATCTAACTCAATTCACACTCATATGTAATGTCTCATTTTCACTGAAATGATTGTATTTTTAATTTTATTTAATATTTACATATTTTTACTCATGTTAAATTCTATTTTTTAAAATAAAAACAAAAAATGACTTGGTATTTTTTTTATTTTTCCATCTCATATTCTTTCAATATTTATTTTAAATCTCCTTTTTTTCTTTTTATATATAATTTGTTCAAATTTTTTGTTCCATTTTGTTTGTTTGATTTTTTATACAATCAAAAAAATAAAAAAATAAATAAGATTAATAATTGTAATAATAACAGTAAATAATTTATCGCACAACTCTACCGCCAATTGTGAAAAATTCATAAAAATGCGTTACAAATAGCACTAATTCTGTCTTGAGTTTTACATATATGCGTTTACTTTTATACTGATGGGTGTATTTCACCCATGACCGGTCAAGGGCTCGAGTCAGAATGTTGACCGGTCAAAACCGAATTTGAGAGGAAATGATGAATCATCGAAATATTGACCAAGAACGTCGACCGGTACACTTCGGATAATGTACCGGTCAAACTCGCCCATGGTCTGAATTCGTCATTCGAAGTTGGCCAGACCAACCTTCAAGATTCAACCGGTATACTTTCACAAGATTGATGGGCACCGACAGGGAGAGTCCAGGAAAGGCTTGGACTGTAGTGGTTGGAATTGCAGAGATGCCGAAGGAACATTTCCAAGCCAGACCACGACAAAGGCGCAGCCTCCCACGCAAGATGACAAGGCAGAGTCAGTCAGGTCGCCCCACGCCAGCAGCATGCCCCCACGTGAACGCACGTGGTCCTGCCCCCTAGCTTAGTATATATAGCCCTTGTAACCCTCGAAGAAGGGGATCGGAATTCATTCTCTCCAAACTCCCCTGTAAAAGTGACCGTGAATTCTCTATTTTAATACAATTCGGGCTACAGGTGTTCCACCTAAAGTCCTACCGGTCATTCTGAGTATTTCTACTTTCTTTACTTTTACTAAATCTAGCCAACTATCCTAGACCCGGTCAAGTATAGTTTGACCGGTCAAGTAATTTACACCATCATTTTGGCGCCATCCGTGGGACCGTTAAGGTTTCTTCTCTTCTAAATACAAACCTACCCACAAAAACACCACTCAAAATGTCTTCAAGCCAACAAACCAACGCCACCCCTGCTCAGGTGCAAGCCACCGCTGAAGGTACCAGCATTCCCATGGTAGCTACCTTGCCAGCCGTTTCTACTCTGGTTTTGCCGTTGGGACTAAGCTCGGTCCCAACACCCAGCATGGTCAGCCCTTTCACGGCCCCCGTCCCTTCCGCTGGGCCAAGGGTCACCTTTCCGCCAAGCATGACGCAGTTCATGAATGACCCGGCGAACCTGCAAGCCATCCAAGGCTTTGGCCAGGTCATGGCCGTGTGCCAACAGAATGGGGGGATGCCTTTTCTCCCTGGTATGTTCCCGTTCGCCCTTCCAGGAGCGGGGACAATGCCCCTACAAACTCCGATGGCGGTGACGCCGTTTCAGACGCCGATTCCGCAGCCATCACCATTCCAGCCCGCGCTGGTCAGCGCCATGGCACCCATCAACTTGACTGGTGCGCTCAACGCCGCAGGACCGTCGCGTCCCCCGCAAGGTACTAATCCACAAATCACTCCTGATGGTCACTGTGTCTCGGTTGAGAGCGGAGATGACGAGTGGGATGTTCCGAGGGCCCACAAGAAGAAGAAAGGAAAGGCTATGCGCCCCGCCACTTCCCGAAACTCCGCCTTCGAAAGGCTGGGGGATAGGGAAGAGGGCCAGAGAAAGTCAGCCAAGCAGAGGCTGGGGCAGAGCATTGCTCATGTCAGCGCTTTTGCCCGGTTGGGTGAGATGCGGGAGGCCGAGCCTGCCCGTACCCAACGCTCCCGGTCAAACCGACAGGAGCCAGCCAGGACGAGGGTCTCTCGTCAGGAGGAGGAAGCGGAAAGCCAGCCCAGGGTACCGGTAGTTACTTATTCCTAATTTTTAATATAGTTTAAAATATTGATGTTTTCCTATTTTATCTTGTAGATTAATATACAAAAAAATTGTCTTATTTATATTAAGAAGTTGAAGAAAATAATAATGAGTATGAATCGTAAAAATAGCGAGATGAAAACAAATAATTTATAAACTATAGTTATGAACATAAAAGTTATAATAATAATAATAATAATAATAATAATAATA